TTACACAACGCGTGGGCTCCTTTCCATCACCGCTGCCCTGGCTCAGGCCTTTGACATCTCTCTCCTGGACCAATGCACAGCTCCGCGTGGCAGATCATATTGTTCTCAGATGGTCATGCCAATAGATCCCAGCGCACATGCGTTTCTCATTCGACGTCAGCGACACTCCTCCCCTGAGAGGTGGGGATCTATATTCCTCTCTTTGAATCTGAGTGGCCATGCTTATGGCAGAAGTTATTTTATGTGACTTCTGAGGCTGAGTTATTAAAGGTGGTACAGCTGCTGCCTGGCCCTCTCTTGGGACACTTGCCCTTGGAACCCCGCCACTATGCTGTGAGGACGCCAGGAAGCCACGAGGAAAGGCTTCATGTAGGCATTCTGGCCCCCGTCCTAGCTGAGGTCCCAGCTGACAGCCAACATCAACCACCAAACGTGAGTGAATGAGCCTTTCAGTCCCGAGTTGAGTGGAGCAGACACACACGCGTTTCCAGCTGAACCTGCCCAAATGGCAGACCCACGAGCAAAATGAACGCTGCCATTGATTTAAGTCACTGGGGTTTGGGATGGCTTTTATGCGGCAATAGTAACTGAAACACCTCGTTCTGCCTCAGTTTCTCCTAACTATTATACATGCTTCATTAATAAAACAGACCTTTATTAGATACTGAGTACATGCTAAGGTCTGCACAAAGACACGTGATTTCTACATATATTCATGGACAATACAGTTCAGCTGCCGCCACTGTTCCATTGCACACAGAACAAAAACCATACTCCTCGGCCCTCTACTAATGGCTCCAGCCTATGGCTCCGATGACATCACACCAAACTGTTTTGTTTCCAGACCTGGTCTTTATTCTCCGCTTTCTACGCCTGTGTTCATGTTATCCCTTCTATCTGCAGTACTTCTGCCCTGCCCCATCTCGACCTTCAAAGACCTGCTCTGAAACATCCATCCCCTCGCAAGGCCCTCCTGGACTTTTCCAGTTGAAAGTAATCGACACCTCCTTGTAATCCCACAGCACTCAGCCACTCAGCGCAGACCGCATAGTTCTGTCTGCCCACTGCTTCTCTCGGCCTCAGCCGACTGAGCCTCCGGAGTAGGGATCCTGGCTTATCCTCCTGTCCCTTCTCTGCCCGCTGCCCCACAGTGTCTGACACAAGGCCCCGTACACAGGAAGCCTCCAGTAAACATTTGTTGATGTGACTAATGGCAGAACCAGGATTAGAAGTCAGATCTCCCAAATCCTAGTTGCCAGCATCTTTGGTTACCACCAAGGCAGGGAAAAAGTCCCACCAATGGTGGGTATCAGGTTGGCGGGAGAAGACCTTGGTTATGGCCCTGGGTGGGGGGTGGGGAGTGACACGATCACTGCATGTGGAGCTGCAGACGGCAGTGAGTGGAGGGAGCTCTGGCTCCTGGCTAGGGGTTTGAGATGGGCCCCTCCCTCCTTCCATTCTTGTCTCCCCTGACCACCCACTTCTGGACAGGAAGCATGCTGCTTCTTTGATCTTCTCTAATCCTGTTCCTATCTGAAAACGTCTCCATCTTCAGAACCCAGATGCACAGAAAAGCGAGGCCCCACCATGCCGTCCAAGCTTCCCCTTGCATGTCAAGGACTGCTCTGTGTTCTTCCTCCCCTAGGGTTTCTGAAGAACCATTCCTCCATAAGCTGTCTTTTTTGCGCCCATCTGACTGGAACTGCGCCCCTGTCCCCTGTGATTGTCACTCGCTCTCCTGGGCCTGATTATGGCTGTGTCTTGCCTGGTCCACTCCTTGGGGGTCCACCAGCAGGAGCAGGCTTCAATTTTTTTTTCCTCCCAGGATGCCCTGGTTTGATGCCTTCAGACTGAGCAGGAGCAGAAGGTGGGGTGGGCAGGATGTTTTGCCAAGGCTTTTCGCCCTAAATTGTTTCTGATACCTGGGAGGAGCCTATGTCTACACAGCCTCTTGGGTCCCTCAGCCAGAGGCAGGATGGGAAGAGCTCTTCCCAGGAGTGGATCCTGCAAATGTCTCTGTGAGCAGAGGGTGGGGTGGATTTTAATTGCTCAGGGTGCTAAGCTTGGGCCCTAGCCTCTTTCTACCGGATCTAGGGGTAGTTCAGGTGGGAAAGTGATGGGTGAAGAGACTTCTCCATCAGCTCACCTGTTGCTTTTACCTCTTGGTGCCTGGCACCTGTGGGCCCAGAAAGGGTGAGGGCTTGTCCCTATCTGACAGCCTCTCTTCCTTGTCCCAGTTTTTGGCTGTGGGGGTGGCTCAGTGGGACTGCCTTCAGGTTCTTTTCCCTCAGGAATGAAACTCCAGGAAGCGCGCGCG